AACCCTGTTGGGTAATAGATTCAGGTGCATCCGACCATATGACTAGCTTGCCTTCATTGTTTACCACTTATCATTTATCTTCTAGTAGGGATAAAGTATCTATTACTGATGGCTCTCTTGTCCCCATTTCTGGCAAGGGTGACATCAAACTGTCGGATACTATCCCCTTGTCTTCTGTCTTGCATGTTCCTAAACTTGATACTAACCTTCTTTCAGTTAGTAGTATTACCAAACATATGAACTGCTCAGTAACTTTCTTCCCTAACCGATGTGTTTTTTAGGACCTGGAGACGAAGAAGGTGATTGGGACTGGTCCTGAGACGAATAGGATCTATCTGCTCGGGGAGAGTTCTCGTCGGGAAGTGTCAGTGGATAAGAAGTCACTTGTTTCTCAGATTGTGAGTCCGGTTATGCTTTGGCATAACCGATTAGGTCATTTGTCTTTTCGGTCCTTAAAGAGTCTATTTCCTAATTTGTTTGAGTCTGTCGAGTTGTCCCAATTGAAATGTGAAAGTTGTGAGTTTGCTAAACRTTGTAGAAAMTCTTATTCATTGAGTAATAAAARGAGTAATAGTTCTTTTGATATTGTGCATACTGATGTTTGGGGGCCATATCACATCCCTTCTATGGGTGGGTACAGATATTTTTTGTTATTTGTTGATGACCATACTCGATTTTCTTGGKTTTATCTTATGYGTTCACGAGATGAGGTTCCCACCCTGACCCAAAACTTCCACCAAATGATCCTAACCCAGTTTGACGCCAAGATCAAAGTTCTTAGATTTGATAATGCAAAGAAATACTTTGCTAAGCCATTGGCATCTTACCTTCTTAATCATGAGGTTATCCACCAAAGCACTTGCCCTCATACACCTCAACAGAATGGGGTTTCAGAAAGGAAGAATAGGCACATCTTGGAGGTGGCTAGAAGTATTATGTTTACCTCCAATGTCCCTATTCGCTTTTGGGGTGATGCTATCCTCACGGCGGTATATCTTATTAATCGGGTTCCTTCCCGGGTTCTTGATATGAAACCTCCTTTTTCCCTTCTATACCCAAATGAGAAGTTGTTTACTGTTCCCCTTAAAACATTTAGTTGTACCTGTTTTGTTCAGCTTCTCGGACCCCATCACTCCAAGTTCGAATCAAAGGCCTCCAAATGCATCTTTCTTGGTTATGCACACACTCAAAAGGGTTATTGCTGCTATGATCCTGCCTCAGGGAAGAAGTTTGTCTCCATGGATGTCACTTTCTTTGAGGAGACACCCTATTATTCTCGGGTTTCTCCTCAAGGGGAGAGCAGTGAGAGTGGGGATTTGGGTCCTTTTCTTCAGGGGGAGCACAGTGAGGGTAGGGTTAATACTTTTGGAGTTGTTCCTTTACCTATTCCATTGGGTGATGAGGACTGCAGTAGTGAGGGTGGTCAGAGGGATCAGGAGTTGAGAGTCTATCACAGGCAATGTAGGCAGGTTGATCCCAGTCATCAGCAGTCCAGGCCAGCTCCAACCTCTTCTGCGGCTCCAAGTCCAGGTATTACAATCCCAGGGCCCACAGAGACTCCTTCCATTGTTGCCACTTCACCCCCTGCAGGCGACCTTGACCTTCCCATTGCCATCCGTAAAGGAAAACGACATTGCACCACATCTACAGCCCACTGCATTTCCCAGTTTTTATCCTATGATCGCCTATCTCCCTCCTA